TCACCAAGATAAGAAAATGGCAGTGCCTGGAAGGAGGCTGGGACCTCCCATTTTACAATGAGCCTAAGGGGACACGCTCTCACCCTGAGGCCACCCGCCTTCCCCACACCACACCCAGGAAGGGCTCTCTCACTCCTCCTCCCGGCCCTGTTTACAGAGGCTGGGAGAGGCTTCCACGGGCCGGTCCAGGGCACAGTGACCTCCTGGGCCTGGGGCTGCCACCTGCCTGCCTTCCCCCATTACTGCTCTCCCTGTGGGCGCCTCCCCTTCTCGGGTGAATCAAGGCACCCTCCTTCTTGACCATCTGGGGACACCTGGGAAGTGGCCTCAACGCCTCTGAGCCTCAGGTTCCCATGGATGGCGTGGGGATAACAAAGCTCAGAGGGTTTACACAGCCACCCAGACAGGGCCACACATATGACCAAAAGTTGGGAAAGGCAGCCATTTGCATCCCACATTGCAGGGCCGCCCCCTCCTCTCTCACTCCCCAGAGGGCCCCTCTGCACACACCCTGGACCTGCCCCTGATAACTCACCCCCCAGGGAGCAGACCCCCCCTCAGGAGGTCTTCCCTGCTGCCTCCAGATTCCTAATCATGCGCAACGCTTCAAAGGCCCCCACCGCGTGCCAGGCACCATGAAAACACTCTAGATATGCTACCTGCATCCTTACCCCAATCCTGGGGGACAGGTCAAGGATTACCCCTATTTTACAGATGTGGAAACTGAGGCCCAGAGAAGTAAAAGCAGCTCACCTGAGGTCACCGAGCTAGGAAACGGCTGAACCCAGGGAGGCCATCTCCTAAGTCAGTGCCCAAGCCGGGCTGCTAGGCTCCCCGGGAAGCCCTGCTGGCCTCCCCTTTCATTCCAACAAAGCCCCACTCTCCCAGGGCTGACCAGTGCCCTTCTCCCCTCAGCACCCAGGACAGGACAGGTGCCCAAAGGGAGCTCAGCACCATCTGTCAATGCCCCAATGCGGGTGATTATCATCCCTCAGTCCTGAGAGGCAGGTGAGACCGGCCTGGGGCAGAGGTTGTCCCATCCGGCATGTCTGCCCCCCATGCACCCTCTGCCACCCCAGCCTGGTTTCCTCAGAGACCCAGAGTGGCTTCCTTGGCTCATCCCTGTACCATCGCCTGTGCCCACTGCCTGGGAACTCACTGGGTTCACAACAGAAAGCTGGTCGCAGATGAGGGACATCTCTCCACCACCTCTGTGGTCCCGGCTGCTCCTCACACCAGCCAGGAAGTTCTCTGCACTGGGAAGGACTTTACTATGAAACAAAACAAAGCTATTTGGCAGTTATTCAATGGGGAGGAGCCAGGAGCAAGAGGACTTGCATTTAGAGAAAGAGAAAGGGAAAGTGCTGGGGGAGAAGGGGCCAGGATGGGGCTCAGGGACAGGTAAGCAGATACTCCAGTGACTTTTCCTTCCTTTCTGTATGGTGTTTGGTTCGTGTACAGGTTCTCAGAG